AGAGAGAGAGAGAGAGAGAGAGAGAGAGAGAGAGAGAGAGAACCATCTTTTAATATTTAGTCCCAGGTAACACGTTTGGAACACCGACAGACTGGGTACCAGCCTATAGACGCACCTCACCTTCCGTCTTCTTGACCCTCTTATTAAGACTCTGATATCGGTTTCCCCACATCACGAAAACATAATAAAGGAAGTGAACTCTAGCTATTAAATTTGACTGACTTATCTTATATCCAAATTGCCTGGAACATCTCTTGACAATACCACCTTTGCTGTGAAATTTCGAAGGCAAAGGTTGATCCCCATAGCAAAGAGTTATTGTGAATAAAATTTTGAAAGATCTTTGATAGAAACATTAGGAATTCAAGTATGTCATTTACCCTGAACTATAAACTTCTTGAAGTACATACTAGCCCCACATATAAAAAGAATTTGGCAAATGTATTTTAAATGCAGCTGGATATGTATGTATGTATGTGTATGTATGTATGTATGTATGTATGTAGGTACATCATGGGAGGCTAGAGTTATTTGTATCTTTCATTTTGACATTGTCATCTAACATTAAGTTCAATGTTTGTATCTGCATTTGATGTCCCACTGTTGTCTCCAACTCAATATGACAAAACCATTTAACTTGTACAAGACCTTCAGGAACACCTGGCAGCTGACCATTTTATATATAAGTAAGGAACTGACAGCCAGAAGAGAGAAGAAACTTCCCTAGCTTGTGAAGGGGGAAACTAAAACCTCAATTTCTCACGAGTCCATTCTTTTCCCTCTCCCTTCTTTTTTTAATAATTTATTTTTATTTTATGTGCATTGGTGTTTTGCCTGCATGTATGTCTGTGTGAGGGTGTCAGGTCCCCTAGAATTGGAGTTACAGACAGTTGTGAGGTACCATATGGATGCTGGGAATTGAACCTAGGGGCTCTGGAAAAGCAGTCAATGCTCTTAACCACTGAGCCCCCTCTCTCCCTTCTTTCTCCCAAACTGTAGACCTTTCCAATACCCCTATTTGTCCTCCCAGTAGCGTCAGACTCTTGGTTTTCAAGACTAGAGCCCAGACCATTAAGCACACTCTGCTGTTCTCATCAGCACCATCCCTCCCATATCCTAGGCTTGTTGTCTCTTACCAAACATGATGGGCTTCTGTTGATCCCTTGGGAAGTAGCTTTGTATTGTCTTCAGCTTCAGAGTACAAGCCTTTTGACACAGTCACTTGTTTTATTCCCATCCCAAATCACTCAATATAAGAATTCAAATGCCCAAACAAACGTCACAACAGGCAACACCTCACATTCTGAGCATGCTTGTCACCCCAGACTAAATGAATACTTGCAGACTTAACGCCTTCCATCTGAGCTGCATTTGATGATATTGGGAACTTAGTAAAATAGCTGTCTGGTAGTCCCATTCCCAGCCCCCACCCCCACCCCATAGCTCTGCACTTTCTCTGAGCAGTACTGAGCAGTATGTCTAGAGCCTTTTACTGAAGCCTACTATATGACTTCTAATCAGTATTTGCACGCATCATCCCTCTGACCCATCAGGCCAGATTTACTGCCTTTGCCATTGTCTGCCTTTGTCAAAACACTGCCTCTTTCCTGAAGAAGCTCCATTTTCAATCTTCTAGAACAACCCTATATTTTGACCATGGGAGAATGTGCTGAATAATTTTGCCATTTCCAGGGCCTCTTCATAAGTTACATGCACACACATGCATGTGTGAATGCAGGAGATAGCACAGTGAACAATATATGACCCAATAATTGTCAATGCTTTTTAAACTGTGGCAAAATATACATAATGTAAATGTCACCATTGTCGTTGTTCTTAAATTGTTGCTCGGCATTAAGTTCATTCACACAGCTGTGTAATACAGTGAATGATCTTTTAAATAGAAAGTGACATTACACTGTGTATTTGTGAGGCTATGGAGACATCTCAGTGGGTAAGACTGCTTGCTGACAAGCTAGAAGACTAATAAAACAAATAAACAAATAAAACTTGAGCCTTGCCCTGGGTGCCTGTAGTACCAGCTTTGAGTACGGGAGACAGGTGAGGCCCAGGAGCTCTTTGGCCAGTCAGATTCATCAAAAGAGTGAGCTTCAGTTTCAGCAAGAGACACTGTTTCAAAAAAAAAAATCCTGTGGAAAGTGATAGAGGAAGACATGTGAAACCTCTGGCCTCAACATGCACATCCATGGGTGCATATACCCATACACCCATACATGAGCACACACACTCAGAGAGAGAAACACACACAAAGGAGAGAGAGAATTTGAAACTTTTGTTCAACTTGTTATCTACTCTAGGTAGGCTTTAAGAATGTTCATTAACCATAACTAATGCAAAAAGTAGAAGAGAAAAAATTTCCTTTTAATTTAGCAAAGATTGCAATTTGATTTTAAGGAATAGTAATTGCTTCTTACATGTCAAGATGTATACATAAAAGTAATATTCTAAAACTTAAAAAACTTAAAAAGGTACCCATTTAGTGTGAGATATTTGCATATTATTTGCTGTGTATTGCTCAACTGCCAGTTGGACATGAACTTGGCACACAGATTTCACTTTCTGTTGAAATGACCTGCTATCTCCCTTTGCTCCTCATGCTTGTCCAGCTATGACAGGAGCAAAGGCTTGCTTGCACAAACAAGACATTGAAAAGCACAGTAAAATGTCTATTCTGTTCCTCTGAGTGGCAGAATGATTTTTCTCTTATGGAAATCCAGAACTTAGAAACGAGCAAGCCAGGACAACATATCACCTGCTTGCTAAGTAACAAGCCAGGACAGCACATCACTTGCTGAGTCACAAGTCAGGACAGCACACCATTTGCTCTCCCAGTGCTTCCACTTCTCTCAAGTCAGGTGCTCAGGCTGAGAAAGTGTTGGGAAAGCGGCTTTCATCCAGTTACATGGATGTCTTGTCAGGAAAAGAAAAACGCTGGTCCATGTATGCTACAATTTCCCCCAAGTGGATTTCAATAAGGCACGAGTTCTCCTTGCTTTCAAATCTAAGCAGAGTTAAAGTGTTTTTAAATTACCTTGTGCAATATGACTTTTTTCAAACCCAGATATTTTCCCAGAGGTTTGGAGTTACTTGCTGAACTGATTCACGTGGTGAAAACTGCTGCTATGGATGCTTATTTCTACAGCCATCTTTCATCTGCAAGTCACATGGGAATCCCTGGCCAGCTGTTTTCTAAGAGTATTCCCACACTTGGCTTTTCAACTGAGAAATGCTTCTAAGAACCAAAACCTAATGTTTATCTTACAGAGTAATAAATTACATGGACGTTTAGTGGCCTCTCAGAAATCAGCCGTAAGATTTGTGCAAGAAGCAAGAGATTTTTATGGATTTGACTAGATTTTCAGTTTTTCTTTTAAAAGTTCTTGAGTGAACTGGCTGGTGTTTGATAAATATAATGTTTTAATTTTGAACTGTTCCATACAGGTTCGTGTATTGAATGCTTGAACACAGCTGATAGCACAGCTCTGGGAGGTGAAGCCTGAATGAAGGAAGAGAGGGGGTTGTTCAGTCCCTTCCTCCTCTTTTGCTTCTTTTGCTTCCTCGCTTCCTGGTGGCCTCGCCATGCTCAGCCATGCACTCCCCACATTAATAGACTGGCACTCTGAAACCATGGTCTATCATCGGTCTTCCAATCCTTAAGTGCTTTCTGCCAGGTATTTGGTCACAGTGATGAGGCAGCCTCATGCTGTAATTCTAATTGACATCCTTGGAACACCACACAACACTAGGTTTTTTATTTCAGCACTAAAACTTCCTGACATCAGCATTTCTCAGGAGGCGGGTGGGGAGCGGTGTGTTGTGAATCCATTAGGATGTGTCTTTCTGACATGGAGTGGAAACCACTAGGGAGCCCAACCTTGACAGGCACCACGGGTACCGCTTGTACAGTGGAATTTCTTTTCTTTTTTTTAAATAAAGATTTTATTTATTTATTATGTCTTCTGCCTGCATGCCAGCAGAGGGCACCAGATCTCATTCAAGGTGGTTGTGAGCCACCATGTGGTTGCTGGGAATTGAACTCAGGACCTCTGGAAGAGCAGTCAGTGCTCTTAACTGCTGAGCCATCTCTCAGCCCCCAGTGGAATTTCTTTTTACAAATGAGGACTCAGTAAGAGAACTCAGTAAGTAGAATTGAGGTGATAGGATAGGGCCAGTCCACCAAAAACAGAGAACCATGCACATTTTGAGAAGCAGCTTGTACTTTCCTGGTTCCAATAAATGTGGGATAAGCCAAGGACACTATGTTATCATGTGTCTAGAACTGCATGTCAGAAAATTGAAGGGAGGCTTACATACAAAACTAAACCAGGAAACTAAAACATTAGTTCAAGCAAGCCTAAAGAAAATGTCACCTCCCCAAAAGAGCCAAAGGTCACAAGCAAGGCACATACATGAGCAGGTACTCAGACATGCTAGGGATGCATCCAAACAGTTGACCCACCACTCTGTCTCATCGTCTATGACTATGGGAATGTGTTCTGAACAGCTGAAAGATGAGGGATTGTTTTCAGATGGACCATGGAGTGTGTAGGTATGGATCAAAACCAGAGAGCATCTCATTACATCCAACTGTAGGCATGGCTCTGAAAGATAGTGGTCAGGCCATGCTCGAAGGTGTCACTGAGGATCCCAGCACTTCAGAGATGGAGGCATGAGGATTGTGGGCTCTGACCAGTCTGAGTCCTGGGGGACTGTGAGATTCTGCCTTAGAATAAAAGCCATCCCATATAAACAGAGCCTCAAATGTTGTCAATCCTGGGTCTGGAGAGAGACTTAGACTATTTTACATACAGGATTATTTACACTGCTTCCCTAACCATCTTTTTTTTCCTAGGCTAAAACATACTTAAAGATCAGTAATGAAAGAAACCTGGGGGAGAAGCACATGGGTGCATATAGGCCAATGGGATGAAGTTTTCAAGTCTGGCAGCATCTACCTGAAAGCACTCCAAGAGAAAAGACACTAGTATTCTTTTTTTTTTTTAACCACTTTTTAAAATTTAAATTAGAAACAAGTCTGCTTCTCATGTCAATCCCAGCTCCCTCTCCCTCCCCTCCTCCCCTGTCCCCCACCACCCCCCTACCCCTTACCACCCCCACGCCCCCTGGAGGGTGAGGCCCTCAATGGGGGATCCCCAAAGTCTGTCATCTCATCCAGGGCAGGGCCTAGGCCCTCCCTCATGAAGACATTAATATTCTTATGACAGTTTGATATTATCTATACCCAGCTGTTAGCCTAATGCCAGCATTCTGAGCACAAGACAGATGCAGCCTTGGAAGCAGAGATGGTGGTTAACCATGAGATATTAAGCCACTATTTAGCCATTGCTATCAACAAGTGCTCAATCCAGTAGCTACAGATCTAACACCGTGCCCACAAGGTGGCACACTTTATCAAGGAGACCAAGTGCCAAGTCAGCAACTAACTGACTACATCTGGATCCCTTCAGTCCTAGAAACTAGAGTCATATATTAACACCATGGTAGATGTATTTGAGTCAAGGGTGTGCCTTTTGGGCCTGCAGGCCTAGATAGTACCACAAGCCAAAGGATCTCAGAGTATTCATGCCTTCCAGCAGGAGAGTCCACACAACAATCTGCCTAACGAGGGCACTCTCATGACAGTAAAAGAGCTCCACAAGTTGGCCTATGCCCATGCATTCCACTGATTATATCACATACCACACCCGCAATAGACAGTATAGCATTGGAGGGTCTGCTGAGTGCAGAGCCAAGGTCCCAGGCATGCTGAGAGGACTGGTACTGTCTTCTAGGAATCAATATGTGTGTTTAACCACGGCCTTTTAACATTGTGTCTCTACTAGGAAGAATACATGTGTCTGGAGACATCCAAGGGATGTGGGCAGGAATGACCACAGTTACCACCACTCAGTGGTCAGCTGGGTGTTCAATGCTTCCTGTTCTTATGACAGTGGAGTTTGACAGAGGTCTTGGTCCCCACACCTCCACCAGGGGTACAGTCAGGATACTCTTGAACCAGGAGTGGTAGCATACACCTTTAATCCTAGCACTCAGGACACAGAGCAAAGAGGACCCTTCTAAGTTTGAGGTCATCTTGGTCTGCATAGCTAGGGCCAGGCCAGCCAAGGCTACACTGGGAGACTGACAGGCCACCTCAAAATAACAAATACAATGAAATAACAAATAACAAATGAAAATGAAATACAAAATAACAAAAACAAATGAAAACAAAGGCTGTTTCCTGGTGCACACTGGGCTCTTTGTGTCTAGAGACCAGGAAGAAAAAAGGGAGTCTTGGTCTTGATGGGATAATTGGCCTTAATGACTCAGGGGAAGCAGATTTCGGGTTTTCAAAGGAGGGGGTGAAGGGGGTGGAAGAAGTATGTGTCACGTGACTGCTGGAGTGCCTGTTTTGAGAGTAAAGGAATAGAAACTCAGACAGCAACTTTGAGCTGAGAAAGGAAGCCAGGACTTCAGACGAAGCCTGGAAGAGGCTGCAGATTGTACCATCAGGTGAGCGGCTGAAACCACAGAGGTCAGGCTCAGAGGGAAAAGGGTAGGGAATCAATGAAGAAGAGACATCGAAGAAGTATTAGCTGTGGCCTCAACACCAACTGTGATGTCTGAGTCAGTGGAGTTTTCCCAATAACTCCCTCTTGTGAGGTCTCTCTCAGGAGGAAGAGGCCCGTGGCAATTTTGGAAGAACGGCTTTTGGAGTACAATATGGAAGTTCAAAGGGAACAGAAGACACAGGTGAGTTCCCAGACATGTCCTTCAGGGAAGGACCATCCAGCTGTCTGTGGGGAGTGCCAGAAAATACCCAAGGACAAGAACTTGTCAGATCCTTCAGTGTCTGCATTGGCTAAAGAGAACTGCTTTACCAAAGGGCATTGCATCCCTGAGCAGCGCCTATGACTGAACAAGGTGGGGTATAATGGTCCAGTCTGTCTCTGAGTCAGGGAACCGGCCAATCACCCCATAGGCAGGACAAGTCTTTGCTGAATCCACACAGATGTCCCAAACCCTGCTCTGCCTTGCTTCTCTCTCCCAGGGATACTGACACCTGATGGGAATCTCGTCTTATATCTGCCTGTAGAGATCAAAGACCCATAGCATTTCAGCTGCCACAGGACTCCCTTCCGCAATCTTAAAGCAAAGAGTGTAGTTTTATTTGCCAAATGACATAAAAGAAAAAAATAGTTGCTTCCATGGTACTTTCTGTGTTCCCTGGAAAATGGAATCAGGACATTGTCAGAGCCAAGATGGAGCAATCGGGCCTGCCTGGTCCAAACACTTCCTATTGATCGCCTGCTCAGAGCCTTTTTTTTTGTTTCGGTTACGGTAAAACTCTGGATGTTAGCCAAATCCTCCAAGAGTTCAAAAGTACAATGCTTTGTAAGAGGCTTTTCCTTTTTAAATATTTTTTCAGAGGTTAAAAATTAAATTTCAGGGGAGTATCTGGAATGGACAAAAGTCTTTCGTGGAGACGGCCCCACATACCTCCAGCATGAAGCTCACTCAGTTTCTGTTATTTTTGTACCTCCACTTGAGTTCTTGCAAGGTGAGTGATGCAACTGTTATAGAAATTCTTTTAAGGGGACATTTAAAGATTATGAAAATCCTTTAAATATGTGATTTAGACTTAAATATTACTTTAGGTTTTTAAGAATGCAAATGTACAGTAGCAGTATCTTGATAAGAGATTAATTAAGAAAATAGTTTTTATATGCTTGAACATGCTCATTAACATTGAGCCAAATGAGAGCTTCATTGATTGACTGCTATAAGCTATTGTCCTATTAAATGGATAAACATTCCCTATGCTTCTGCATGTATGGTATGGTGATAAGAAAGTGAAACTGATTCTTCAAAGGGAAAATCAGCAAGACTTAAATTACATTTGAAAATGCAAAATGGGAATATTACAAGATCATAAAGATATTCTTTACTCAAAATATTGAACCCATCATATATTGAAAGTATTGTTAAGTGGGAATTGTATTGAACATAACTGAACTTCACAGTGTAGCCTAATTTAATCATGCTCAGAGCACACTATCCTCTAGTTGGACAAAATCACCCAATAAAAGCCCATTTTCAAGCACTAATTATCTAATGCAGTTTGTTGAGGGCAGTTCTGAATACTGGTCATTTTTGTATACATATCAGGGTGTCAAAACACAGTATCTAGGATATATTAGCAGGACAATATTGCTCATCTGATGATCGTGTGTCAGATGGGGAGCTGTGGCCTGGCCTTTCATCAGGATTTCACCACTATCACTAGTCCAAGAAAGAGAAAATTTCGTAGAATAGTTTTCTCCTAAATATGTATGGTTCTCATCCTATTGTAAAGAAAAGGGTTGTAAAGTATCTCTATACTCCTAATTGACAAAACGGTAAAAAAAAATACCAGTTGGTAAATAACTTTTAATGAGAGGACAAATCACCCAAAGCTCAGAGTCAGGAAGAGACTATGGGACAAGAGGGATTCATGCTGGACCACTGGTATGTAACTCCAGCTCCAGAGGGTCAGATGCCCTCTTCTGTCCTCTACAGGCATCTGCATTCATGTACATATACATGATTAAAAAATAAAATAAAATAGTTTTTGAAGAGTTCTATGTAGTTGGGGCGTCCCCTTTTCTTATTCTTTAATAGTCCTTGTGCTTGCTAAATGTGCACTGGATTGGCTTCACAGTTGGGTGCTCTACACACTGGGGATGAGACAAGGGCTTCCAATCTTAGGTCTAGTTATTTCTTGTGGCAAGTCACTGAATGGCCCTTGAATCCATGCACCTGCTAATTTCATCTTTTTGAAGCTCCTTTCCTTCTTAGACCTGGTCCTTGCTACTGAAAATGTGACAGGCAATTTTGACCAGTTGAGACACTGGCATCCCTAGGGCTTCATCTACCTCCTAGGGCTCAAAGTAATAAGTAATAATCCTACTTATTTTATCTTGGGGGGGGCGGATACTATGGCAAATTCATGATAGTTCACCTTGGTTGCCAATGTGACACTGGGAAGAGGAACCCCCATTGAAGAATTTCCTCCATCAAATTGGTCTGTGGAGCATTGTCTTGATTGGCGATTGATGGGGAAGGGCTCAGAGCATTGTGGGAGGTGCCATCCGTTGGGCATGTGGGGCAAGGCTGTAAAAGAAAGATAGCTGAGCAAGCCGGTAAGAAGTGTTCGCCATGGTCTTTGGCTCAGTCCTCTATGTTCCTGGCTTGGCTTCCTTAGGTGATAGACTGCAATCTGTAAGCCAAAGTTGTTTGGGATCTATGTTTTATCACAGTAACAGAAACCAATGAAAGTCAGCTATGTAATTTCTGTTGTCTCTGCATCATTATCTGTGTATGATCTATTTGCTTCAAAAATTGTAACAATTCTAATTGTTTAATCTATTTTGCCTTGATACTTGTATTAGTTACTTTTCTGGTGCTGTAATAAAATACTATAACCATCGGGTGACATGTTGTACACCTTTAATCCTAGCACTTAGAAGGCAGACACAAGTGGATCTCTGTGAGTTGAGGCTAGCTTCATCTACATAGTGAGTTACAGGGCTGTTGTTTCATCTTTGCCATGGTAGCTGCACCTTAATTTACTGCTATTTCAGCCAGAAATTGAGACCCCCACAGTTACTAGCCTGCTTCTCTTGCAGTGGCCTGGCTGCTAGGGCTGCAACTTAGTGGGAATTCTGTTCCCAGAGGAAGCAGCTGTGTCGCTGCCACTAAAGGTAGCTTTAGCTAAATCTCTACTGTTTTATTTTAAAATAAGACTCAAGATTCAAAGGCTGGTGTGAAAACTTGCTAGTTGAGAGAGGTTGAGTAGCAAAAACTGGACCTTCCATTCCGTTAAAACAAAAGAAACATGAGTCCCTCAGAGTCCCTCCCTACTCCTTCCTTTGTCTCTCTATCTCCACCAGATGCCCTCTGATGCTCTATGATCACTTTCTGTTAACTAGTTGCTAACTCAGCTTCCTGATCCAAGGTTAATTTTATTTAATTACCATAGATGGATACTCGTGGTTTACAGTGTGACACAATATCCCCCAACACAAGACAGCCAGAACTACATAATGAAATCCTGTCTCCATAAATAGATAAACAAACAAACACACCATGACCAAAGGCAATTTATAAAAGAAGGGGTTTATTTGGGCTTACAGATCCCAAGGAAAAGAAGTCCATGATGGCATAGTGAGGCATGGAAATAGGAGTTTAGGCAGCAGGCATGGCAGCAGAAACAGAAAGCTAAGAGGTTTTCACCTCTAGAGAAAAATTGAGTAATACCTTCCAGTATTAAAGTTGTTTATTCTTTAGATTCAGTCATTTCAATTCCAGGTAAATGTCTGACAGATATAAGTAGCATGGGAGATGTGCATTAATAAAGAAATTTATTTGTAGTATTATTTACAATGTTGAGACATGGGAACTAACTAAATTGCCTTTTGGAGTGTAGCTATGGGGCCATTAGATGCAAATTACAATGTTCAGAGGAACTGGAGAGTAAATTATGACCTCACATATGCACTACTGACCTCTGGAAAACCACAAGAACTAGGCCAATGATTTTTTTTTTTATCCCTAAAGCAAAATAATAGAGTTGATTTCAAAACACTATTTCCAATTTCTTTGGAGCAATTAGAGATAAGTATTCAGGACCTACTTTTTCTGCAGCCATCTTCTCATAAGTTCCAGTTGCATTCTGATTCTGAGAAAAGAGGTACATTCACCTTAAGAAATAATAAGAAAAATATCCCAACCAAAACAGTGAAGACTATATTGAATTTCCAATGTAAGTTTAAGCAATTTAAAAAAAAGAAATATGTCAAATATGTTTTTCCCCAACTTTCACATCAAAACATCTTTTAAACCAAAAATAATTCTTATCATTTTGCTAGCTTCGCCAAATACCAAGCCAGGTACACCCCGTTTTTACAAAGCTAAAAGGTGATTGACATGGGCACACATTCTCAAGAACAACAATATCATTCAAAACTTAACAAAGCACATTTACAGAAATAGGGTGATCTGCCTTGGATCCTGTCAGCACTGAATCAGAACAGCTCCCAGGGTCTGGAGTGACAGCTGTCATCCCCAGACAACAAACCTGAGAATCATCAATTCCCCAAGAATTTTAGGGGAAAATATTTGAGAAAAAATGGGGTTTCCAGGAATGAACACATCTGTCCCATCCGTGGCTGATAAAGTGACACTAAAAACCTCCAAGGGAATCACCAACATTATGAAAGAGAAGACAGCATGCAGGCCGCATGGTTCCAGCAGTATTCTGCACTGCCCTGACATCCACTGGTCCTTGCCAAGTGAGACTATCTCCACGGGCTTTGCCTTGTGGAGACCCATTGGAAAACCACTCACAAAGTGATCCAAAACTAAGCAAAGCTGTGTTGTAGCCAACAGCAGGGTGAGACTGGGGAATCTTTGAACTTCTCGGGAAGAAAGCCTACCTAGCCCATGCTCATAGGTTATCCAGCCTCAGAAGGAGTTCCTCTGGGGCTGGGGACTTAGCTAGGGAGGACTAAATTGGAAACAACCAGGTTAGTCTGACCCAGACCTCCCTGCCCACCTGTCTACCTATTTAATCATTAATTAGCTATCTCCTGTCTTCCCCCATTTGATCCTTCACTACTGAGAACATTATTTTTATTAAGTGACCCAGACCTCCCTGCCCACCTGTCTACCTATTTAATCATTAATTAGCGATCTCCTGTCTTCCCCCATTTGATCCTACACTACTGAGAACATTATTTTTATTAACCAAAAACAGGATGAGAAGGGAAAAGCTACTTACCAAAGATCACATATCTAACCAGCAGCAGAAGGGAACTCATTGACAAAGGACAAAGTGAGCACTTGCAACCCCAGCTACTTGAAAACTAAGGCAATGGGATTAGAAGTTCAAGGCCAGTCTGGGCCACACAGATTCCATTTCAAAAGAAGATTGAGAGATGAGTGTTGGCCTTTGTCTCGATTTGTTCGGAGTTGATTATCAATCACTTTTCCCTTGTTTATAGACTAAACATGAAAAGCAGACAAAAGGCAAAGTGACAAAGAAACCTGAGATAAGCCTGTGTCTCTGTGTGATACAGCCAAGAGGACATTGGTTTATTTCTTGCTTGTTTTCTAATGACTATTTTAAAAGGGTTCCATACTTTAAAAATAAAGTTCACAAAAAATTGCTATATCATATAAATATTAAGAAAAGGATGAAGAAAGAAGGGGAAAACCACACAGGCAGAGAAGCAGCAGTAATTAAAGGAGATGGAATCTTTTAGTTGACAAACTGTTGTGTAGCAATTTGTTCCAAGAGACAACCCTCCATCTTGGAAGGAAGCTCTTTAAAGTGTAGGATGTCCTAAGAGGAGGTGAGATGCTCGTCCTGTGCTGAATCTCCTTCAACTCAGGAAGTAAGCAACTCGGATGTTTCAGGAAGTCCCTGAAACCAACCAAATTCACCAGGCTTCTCCCTCACATGCATATATAAGCCGTAAGGGCTGTAAGAACACACACTCTCTCAGAACAGCAGAGCTGCCTGGCAAAGATGCTCTCCACCCTGTCAAGCTGCCAGCAGGCTGTGCAGTGTGTCCAGCTCCCATGACTTGTCACCCATGTTGGGGGGGCTTCTGCTGATGCAGCTCTCTTGGAGTTATTTCCATTCCAGTAAGTGATGCCTCACCCATACTCCTGTAAATAACCTCCTGTAAAAGCATTGGTTCACTGAACTGGACTTTGGTGCTATGCTAATGTTGTCTGTTCTTGGTTTCGTGTCTGGGTGAGTAGATGCTTGTGCACATCTTTCCAGGAATAATGTCACACAGCACAAAGTTATATTAATAACTGCTTAAAATGTTTGAGAGTGTGCTCCAAGATACACGCATTTATTTATTCATAGATAATAAATCATACCGCTATACAAATAAACATCTTGGGTTAAAAATTTAATCATGTACATATTTTAATAATTCAAAAATTATTTAGTGATATCACTCATCACTTTATTTTTGGAAATTATTTTATTTTAATGGCATATCAATAAAAAGATACATCACACAAAAATATGGAGAATAAATTCATAGAGAGAGACTGGTCCTTAATGGAATTAGATACATGTATTCCAAATGGAATTAGATACATGTATTTCAAATGGTAATTGGTAGTGCTGACTGGAGATAAAAAGCATCCTTCATTCTCTCCCCATGAAACCCACCTTCCACTCCCACGTGGATTAACTTGTTTCACCTTGCCCATTGCTTCTCTAAGCCGGTACCATGCTGTACTCTGGCTGCCTGTTTCCCCAGGTTCATTACAAATGACCACCCATCTGCAACACTCAGTGATACACACCCCAGAGTCAGGTCTACTTGATTTACCAAGTATATATTGTATAATGTTCCTTCTTCTAGCACCAGCCCACAGGCAGCTATGCCTGTTCATGCTTGCCTTGCTCAAGGGCTTCTACTTCTAAGAGACCTAGGAAGACATATTCCCACCCTGTTCTCCCAAACCACCATGTTGTATTTGTAGCTCATTTACTCCACCCACCTTCTGTCATGCTAATCTCTGTGCCCTTATCTCATTATCATCAAATAATCAAGCCCTTAAAAGACAAAGATGGTCACATTCATTTTAGTATGATTTACATGTGGTTCATTACATGGTTTTGCATTTAATAACAACTAATAAATGCCAAGCTTCAAAATTCATCCTAGGAGACTGTATTCAGCATCAAGTTTGTTACTCCATACCATGGCACTGAGATTCCTTGATCTCTTCCAAGGCTCACTTTTATGTGGGCCTTCTAATAGCTCAATTAATTGTATTCCTGGAACTGACTACTGGAACCATTACTGATGTGGCTTCTAACCCTTCAAATGAAACTGATAAAAGCATGAGATATTCTCACTGTACAGATAAGAACATTCACTTTTCATGAGGGTAACTTGCCCAAAGTATCCAAAACTGGGGCTGAGTCAGGTTTGCCTGATTCATAAAACCACCAGCCCACAGTCTCGTCTACGCTGCTGGCTGGGCTGTCCTGTGCCAGCCCACAGTCTTGTCTATGCTATTGGCTGGGTCTGTTGTTTGCTTCTCCTTCACATCTTCACATTCTGAGACCACAAACAAACTGTCATTTGTTATTCCCTGTTCACAGTGCATTTCAGTATCGGGTTTACCTCAAGAGGATCTGGTGGACCAGAAGTGCTTACTAAACAAATACACACACCGCTCCTGTAATAAAGTCTTCTGCCAGCCATGGCAGAAATGTGTTGAAGGAAGCTGTGTCTGCAAACTCCCTTACCAGTGTCCAAAGACTGGAACCCCAGTGTGCACCACTAATGGAAGGAAATACCCCACTTATTGTCACCAGAAGAGTTTTGAATGTCTGCAACCAGAAACAAAGTTTTCAAATAATGGAACATGCACAGCTGAAGGTAGGAAAGATGTGTGTAACCAAGTTATTCTAATGAGAGGGCAATGATAGGCCATCCTTTCTGTCACAAAATGCTTTTGCTATGAAATATTTTAATGGCAACTTAAACTTCTTTAGACCAGGATGATGGCTGCTGCTGCTGCTGCTGCTGCTGCTGCTCCTCCTCCTCCTCCTCCTCCTCCTCCTCCTCCTCCTCTTCCTCCTTTCCCCGAGACAGGGTTTCTCTGTGTAGCTTTGTGTCCTTCAACTCACAGAGATCCACCTGCCTCTGCCTTCTGAGTGCTGGGATTGAAGATGTGTGCCACCCAGATGTGTGTAATGCCCAGCATTACATAAGTTACTCTTGCCCTAATATTTGACATCACAGGACATAATCTTCAGTGTTTTTCAGAGTTGATTAATATTTTGATTTTGGAGACCCTCAATGCTGAGAATCTTACTTAATATACAGACATAGTACGACCATTTCAGAAATTGTTGGAAATTCTGTACTGATCTCAAGCCAATATTCATTTAATAAACAAATAAAAAATACTACTGAAGTCAGCAACTCAAATGGCAGTGTTTAAAAATCAAACATTCTGATCCAATCCAAAGACACACACGAATCTGAGGTGTGTGTGCTGAGAAGTGATGGTAGAAAGGTATTAGAAGTCTTGTTTTCTGTAGTTAAATCATTATGTTTCTGTATGAGGAAAGGGCTTTGTATGTACAGTAAAACATGTTCCAGTAGCCTTGCACTGAGCCAAGGTTTTTCTGGAAGTGTTCATCCGCACTGCACAACATGGTGTATGCTAGTGAAAAGTGAGTGTGTTGTTCTGTGTTCAGAAACATGGCTGCAGGGAAGTCACGTGAAGCAACAAGGTCATGCACTGCCAGGGACACCTCCAATCATTACATATTTGATGATCTCCTCTCCTCTCCTCTCCTCTCCTCTCCTCTCCTCTCCTCTCCTCTCTTCTCTCCCCCCCCTTCTCTGAGCCAGGGTTCCTCTGTGTCTGAGGCACTGCTCTGTGCTGCTCAGCCCTTCAGAAGCTCCCCACTCTCACTTCTACTTGGTTAAAGGGATTATTCACCAGGCCACCCAGTTGTTTCAGAATTCAGTGAAAAGGTCTTGCTATGGTGTGGGGTGGGGGCTGGAGGGGTGGTTCAGCAGTTCTGTGAGTTTCAGCTTCTTGTTTTCCAGAGCACCAGAATTCAGAATCCAGCACCCTTGTCAAGTGGTTTACAATTGCCTGTAACTCCAGCTGCAGGAGATCCAAAGCCCTCTTCTGGCCTTTGCTGGCAGGCGCCCCCCCAAAACACACACACACACACACACACACACACACACACACACACACACACACCCCATAATCATATACATAAATAAACAATAAATCCTAAAAATATCTTAGTATGACATAGGTACTGATATAGCCTGCTCTGCCTCAGTTCACCCATCAGAAATCTAACCTCAGTAATGTCTCCTAATATCTGTCCCTCGACACTGTCCTCTACCTTACTCATGTCCAACCCCATTGACACTGATGATCCAAGGTTAGTTTGAGACACTGCTGACCTGGGATGAATGCAGCACTTTAGGCAGGAGCTTGTCTACACTCAGTTCAGGGGCCTGATGGAACTAGGAAGCTAGGATCCTGACATGCAGATTAGGAATCTATAAAATTTAAAAGATTAGTGAGCTCACTGCCAGTTAAGTTTAATTTCAAGTTCCTGTAAGCTTACCCAGCTGTTAAGTGACAAGCTTAGTGATCTCTCTGGGCCTCAGTTCCATTACCTGTAAAGAATGAATAGTAGGAGTCTGTAAGTCGTAAGACCCTTGTGGGAACTTAATATAAGGAAGCACATAGGCTTTTTGCAAGTCTGCATAGGCAAAGACTTGTTACGATAAAAGCCGCCAGAGCCCTACCGCCGCATGGGTGGTCTCCACCAGCCGCCCGAGTTCTGCCCGCCGCATGGATGGACAAAGTAATACACAGACTTATATTAGGAACAAAAGCTGCTTGGCCAATGACTAGGATTCTCATCTATTAGCTCAGTCTTAATTACCATAAATCTGTATATTTTATAAGACTTACCTTATCGGACACCTTCCATTGGCGTCCTCCCTTGCTGGTGGATCACATCGAGCCACTGGAGGAGGCGAAGGGGGAAAAGGGACACTTCCTGTTTGTCCTTGCTTAAATGAATCTCCTTGCTATGTCACTTCCTGCCTGGATCACCACTTCTCTACTACATTTCCCAGAATCCTCTTTGACTCCTAGTCCAGTCTAACTTGTTACCTCATTGGCCAAACAGTATTTTATTTAACAATCAATAAGATGAACATACACAGTACATTCCCCATTAAAGACTCCTTACAGTTTAGCTGTCCTGGTAAAACCTGGGGTCTGTCCTCGGATACAAAGTTATTGCACACACTGTGTATTGGGACAGGAATGGTTAAGACACTCCTCTTAAAGGCACTGTGAGCCAGGTCTGCTCACGGAACCTTAGTAATTACGTGGTGCTAGCAGAAAGTGGGAAAGTGGTGAGTTACTGTGCAGAAGAGGAATGAGGACTTAGTTAAAGAGAACAGCAAAGAGTGAGGACAGAGAATAAAGAAACAAGAGCATTGACAAGGTTAGTCAAAATAAGGTCAGTCAAATGCATTTCTGCATTGGGTACATCTCCTACCTGCAGCAGGGCAAGAAGGCAGCGGTTGACATGCTCAGCATTGCTTTTCTTCTCCTGAATCTCTGAATTCTTCACATCTGTGAGACTGCAGAAACCTTTCATATGCTTTCTTTAATTGTTTGCCTTACTTCTTTCTAAGCGTGTGGGTGTTGGAGTAGGTTAGTGAAAAGTAGTGTCTTAGTTACTTTTCTGTTGCTGTGAAGATCCACCACAAACAAGGCAACTTATACAAGAAAGCATTTAGTTGGAGACTTCAGAGGCTGAGTCCATGACCATCATGGCAGGGAACATGGCAGCAGGCAGGAAGACATGGTGCTGAAGCAATAGTTGAGAACTTATATCTTATCTACAAATTGGAGGCAGAGAGACAGACACACAGAGAGAAATACACAGAGAAATGAGAGAGAGAGGAGAGAGAGAGAGAGAGAGAGAGAGAGAGAGAGAGAGAGAGAGAGAGAGAGAGAGAGAGAGAGAGAGAGAGAGAGAGAGAGACTGGGCTTGGCATGGATTTTTGAACCCTCAACTCCCACCCAGTGGCACACTTCCTCCAACAGGGCCACACCATCTTTCCAAACAGTTCCACCAATAAGAACTCACCATTCATACATATGAGCTCTGGGGCCATTCTCATTCAAACCACCACAGTTTGTAAAGCAAATTCCAATCTTCAGCTTCATGTCTTCAATTGAAGGTGAATATAACTTTATCTTTAAGAGTTGGTATGAGAATATAGTGGTTTTGCCAATGAACAGCATGGCTACTAACAGGATTAGGACTCACAAAATAATAGCTTATTGTTTAAGACATTACAATATTCACAGTTAACTTGAAATTAGGTATTTTAATACAGACAAGTTAAAAGGGGGAGAAAATAAATACTGAAATATTGTCTTCCATTCTTTTTTTATTTAGGGAATTTTAACGTTTCCTTACATTATGGAAATACATATGCAGAGGGAATTGTTCGAGTCAGACTTGTGGACCAAGATGAGAAAATGTTCATATGTAAAAAAAGCTGGAGCATGACAGAAGCCAATGTGGCCTGTGTTCACCTTGGATTTCAACAGTGAGTGCTTGTCTCAAAGGATTTGGACACAATTAATTTCATTGTTCCAGCTGTTTACTTCCTGGCTGGTTAACTTCCCTATGCTGCAATGTCCTTATATATAATCCAAGAATGTTAATGACCCACCTGACAGCACTGTGGCCAGGACTGTGTCTAAGTTTGCCCAGCAGTTAAGAGCCCTGTGAGCAGAGAGCCCCTGTCAGTCCATTTTTCTGGACAGAATCCCTCAAATACACTTCCTACTGTTCATTTTTATGCATCTAGAATGACGTCCACTTTTCCAGATCTCATATTGTTTATTTATGGCTTTTTTCTTTTCTCCTCTGTTGGACTTGCAGAAATGCATTTGACTGACCTTATTTTTGTACTTGTAATTGCTCTTGTTTCTTTATTTCTCTATCCTCACTCTTTGCTGTTATCTTTAACTAAGTCATTTCCATATTGAATTTCCCTCTTTGATTATTATATGTTTTTATTCAGGGGACAGTGCCAGGGACTGAGCCCAGGGCCCATGCCCATGACTCAGTACAGCCCCAGCCCACCCTTCTGATTTGTTTTCTAACCCCTTGGGTTGAATGCTTAACTTTAACCATTTACAGTTGCTTTTTCTTCACAGATAGATGAACTGAAGATACAATTTTCCTCTGGGAATGCTTCATCAATACTCTCTAAGTTTCCATAAGTCACATTTTATTTTATTGTTATTACTAACATAAAATTTATGTTTGTTTCTATAAATAATGTTCTATTTATGTTATTCATAACATATCCTAATTTTCCAGTATAATTTTTGATGCAGTTTTGAAATTTCTTTTGTGCTTTCCAAATGAATACATTCGTTTGCTTTTAATTAACTATTTATTATTGATTTCCTAGTTAATTATAGTGTCATAGGATGTCCCTCTATGGTTATTATTTTTAAGTATTTGCTGAAATTTGATTTTTAAAATTTTTTAAATACTTATATTCAGAGGTCTATAAAATAGATATCCAGTACCATAAGCAAGCTGTTAACTGTTTTTCTCAAATCTTTCCATTTCTTTTTTTCTGTCTTTATCCTCTTTAGATTTAATATACTACCTTATTCTTTGATGACGTCATACATGTCTGCAATATATTTTGGTCACATCCATACTATCCCTGCATCATCTGCTCCCTCAACATTTCCTTCTTCCCAGTGCCATATATTTTTCTTTTTCTTTCTCCCATTTTTTATAACTCCCTCAGTCCTTTTAATGCTGCCAATATGTTCATGGGTGGAGAGCCACTACAGCATGAACAACTTACTAGTGGTCACCACCTCCAAAGAAAAATGACCCCCTCTCCCCCAGTAGCTATCAATTGCCAATAGCAAGTCCCTCCTGCACCCATGCTGGATTTCATCCTGGCTTGACCTGTGTAGATCTTGAGCAGGTAACCAAAGCTTCTGGGAGTTCATGCATGGGACTTTATTGTTTGACAGCCACAGCATACTTCTGATTTTTCATAGTTGTGGCTTGCAACCTACCTTTTCTACCTAGTCTTTACCGACATGGTAACTGTCTTTTGCCATATGCCTAGGTTCATGGACAGACTTTTCTGATTTCTGCCAGTGAAGATTGTTGATATCTAATATATCTTCTTTGCTTTGTTTTTAAGGCAGGGTCTCATGTAGCCCAGGCTGGCCTCAAACTCACCTTCAACTTTTGTTCCTCCTGCTTGCACTTCCAAAATGCTAGGATTATAGGATTATAGGGCTGTGCCACCACCCAGTTAATATAGTGTTGGAAATGAAATCCAACTAGGCAAGTACATAACCAATTAAACTACACCCCAGGGCTATTTACCATATTTTTATAATAACTTTAGATGTGAGGTTTTTCATATTTACTTCTCAAATTTTTGCCCCCAATGGCTATTTTTTGTATGATTATTCTGTATCTTCCTTATGGAATCAAAGAAACTAGGAATACTTTCTTTGTTCTCTTTTTGCCTTTCATTCTTGTTAATCTATTACTTATATTGCAATTAGTACTTTATTTCTATTTTCATTTCTGATGTATCTTTGCTCTACTTTTAATTTTAATCTATTTTCCTCTATAAAGAGAAACAGGAAGCAATTGAATATCCTAGAATAACAGTTCACCATGAGTCATCTCCAGGCTGTTGGGTAATTGAGAATGTTTCTTTTCACATATTTTAAACAAACTAAGAAGTCAAATAATAGCATTATATTAATTAGTTTTTGCATTGCATTGACCAAAAAATGTGTAAGAGAAAAGCTAACAACAGAAATGATGTATTTTGGCTTTTGGTTTCAGATTATTCACTCTGTCATGACCAGTTCCATTGTTTCTAGGTCTGCAGTGAGGCAGATTATCGGGGGTAGAAATGTATACCAAAGGGTACTCGTGGTGGACAGGAAATAAGGAGTTAGAGACAGGAGACAAGATGTGGCCCCTAAGCATATGCCCCTGCTGACCTGCTTCCTCTAAAGAGACTCCACCCTTTGGCCACCCAAAATAAGGCTGTCGTAATATGAACCCAGCAAGGGATTAAATCATTCATTAGGTCAGAATCTTCATGAACTAGTTCTCTCTGGAAATGTTCCTTCTCACGGACATAGCTAGCAGTATGCTTTCCAAAAAAGAATGCTAAAATTGACAACCCAAATGCATCTTCAAAGAGATGCCAGAATACCGCCTCAGTACTATTAAGGCTCATACAAAGAGGTAGTTAATTCTAAATGGCAAACAAAACTGTTAGAGTTCAAACAAGTTGACCTCCCGCATACTAAGCCATAGTGAGATCAACCAGGTAAGGCTCCCTCCCTGTGGGGGAGGGAGGTGAGAAGACTCCTCAAAAGAAAAGACAGGAAGTCTGTGCTGACATTTTCTGGCATAACTTCCAGAATCCTCAGGTCAAAGCAATTCACTCTCTTTTGTCAAGAAAAAAAATAATAACATGACAAGGAGAAGTCAGGATGACTGTCCAGTGGGGAGGAAACATCAAATGGAAAGGAAGCATTCCTCCTTAATAAAACCTGAAAAACAATACTGGCTGAATGTTTGCCATGTTTTCAACTCTGATTGGTGGTTGAAATTGATTATTTTAGTTCATCTTTACAAAACCCAAATTATGGCTCAAGTGAAGGTTTTAAGGCAAATGATCTGTAAATTATTTTGGGGGAAAATTGCTGTAGCACCTCACTTCCTATGATGAGGTTATAAACACAAAGTTGAATTGCTCTTCCCTCAGATCTGACTCATTCTGTTCGCAGGGGTGCGCTTGTTGCACGAAAAAGGTTTAATGTACCTGGAGATCTCCTTATAAACTCCACTGAATGCCTGCATGTACGTTGCCGGGGAATAGAGACCAGTTTGGCGGAGTGCACCTTTACCAGGAGAAGAACTAGCGGTTACCAGGGCTTGGCTGATGTAGTGTGTTACACACGGGATGCAGGTTGGCGAGGATTTCTATCAAGATTGTTTATTTCATAAACGCCTATACTAAGTCAACAATGGTGGGTGTGCAGTTGTCGGCCAAGGAGACACTGACACCTCTATTAAGTTCAGGGGTTAAGAACTGTCTTACGGTTTCCATTGGTGTGAAGAGACATCATGACCATAACAACTTTTATAAAGAAAAACATTTAATTGGGTGGCTCACAGTTTCAGTGGTTTAGTCCATTCTCATCGTGGCAGAACATGGTGGCATGCAGACAGGCATGGTGCTGGAGAAGAAACTGAGAGTTAATACATCTGATCTGCAGACAACAGGAAGTTGTCTGAGACACTGGGCATGGCTTGAACATATAAGACATCTCAACGCCCAACTCCACAGTGACACACTTCCTCCAACAAGGCCATACCTATTCCAACAAAGACACATATCCTAATAGTACCACTCCCTATGAGCTTACGGGGACCATCACATTCAACAACCACAAGAATGAATATTTGTGACCTCCATTGTTCTTTCTTTGCCACCTGAAACCTTCGGCTCAGGTTCCTGTGTGGAAGCAAAATTATCTCTCTCCTCTTTGCTTCCTTGAATATGTGGACTCAAATAACTATAGTAAATAAGTTGATTAAATGCAAAGAGACATTTTGTACCACTTTTGAGCATTAAATCCTATGTACATTATGTATATTTCTTTAAAATGCTTAAATGATCACTTGTTGCCTCAGTTTCCCCAGAAACCACAACCATATTGCTCCTCTCTTAGAAATATTTTGGCATATGTATGGGCCAAGGACCAGAATCATATCCTTTACAGTGTTTATAAACAAAGTACTGGAACATGTAAATGTTTGGCCCATGTGTGTCTAAAAAGTGGAGGCTTGGGTAGTGCCAGACCAAAAATATAAGGGTGAACAGTAGTTCCCCATGTCAGGTGATGCTCTAGGCCCCTGTATCCTCTGTCCTAGTAACCAAAACATTTAATGGTTTGTTTTATTTTTAGATTGTTTTGGTTTTTAGTTCTAATAACCATACAGATAGATATACAATATGTTGTGATTAAATTACCCCCTAGTAATCTCTCTTATTCTCCCTTCCCTGTGATCTTTCTTCTTGCCTACAAGTTTCCCTTTTGCTTTCATTTTTTTTTTTTGAGAGGGGAGGGGTCCTATCATGTATCCCTGGCTGTCCTGGAACTCCCTTTGTAGCCCAGGCTGGCCTTGAACACATAGAGATCTGCCTGCCTTTGCCTCCATGTGCTAGGGTTAAAGATATGCCCAGCACTCTTCCTCCACTCCCCACCCCCCAGTGAGTTTAGTTTGGCTGCTTGTATTAGCATAAGTAAGCAGCTATTTTTTGGAGCATGAGCAACTCACAAGTGCCTACAATACTAAAGAAAGCCACATAAACACATGCATTCACCACACACACACACACACACACACACACACACACACACGTAGACACCTCCACTGACCATGATGAAATGTTGAAGGATTGTCTTGTTCAGGCCTTGTGCACATGTGCACAGCTGCTGTGTTATGCAGACGGCAGTGTTTCACGGCACTCTTCTTGCAGCTCCTAACATTCTTTCTGCCCCCTCATCTACTACGGTCCCTGGGCCTTAGGGTGACATAGATATGTTCTATTTACGGCTGAAACTCAGTCATCACTTTTGATCTCAGACAGCTGACCAGACCTGAGTGTCTGCGTCAACTTTCATCCACAGCAAAAAGGAGCATCTCGACCCCAAGGCAGAGTCACACTAGTCCATGGATATTAACAAATATTTTGAAGGCATTTGGACAATATGACCATTTAGCAAATGGCAGTAGCAATGTCTTGGTCACTGGTTTTATTGCTGTGAAGAGATATCATGACCAAGTAAACTTTTATAAAAATAAAGCATTTAATTGGGGCCTTGCTTATAGTTTAGTTTTAGTCCATTATCATCATGGCAGGGAACATGTGGCAGCAGGTAGGCACACATGGTACTGGAGAAATAACAGAGAGAGAGAGAGAGAGAGAGAGACAGAGAGACAGAGACACAGAGACAGAGACAGACAGAGACAGACAGAGAGACAGAGAGGGACAGTCTGAGAGCAGCATTATCCACCTATGTAGGATATCTTTGTTGCAACTTCTTTTTAAGATTATTCTATTTTAACTAGCTTATAAAGTTGGCCTCTATCCTTCCCCATCCTCGTATCTCCCCACCCTCCCATGCCCAAGGCTGTTCTAACCTGCTTGTTGCCTGCAGCCCCTCCTCACTTTCATGTCCCATTCATTTACTGTATTTTTCTCTGATTGCCCCCACTCACCCCGAGGCTCCTTCCTTGATTCCTGATCCCCACTGACACGTACCAACCTACACACAGAAATATAGAAATTCAAAACTAGAGTCTACATTTGAGAGACAAAATACAGTATTTGTCTTTCTGGGCCTAGATCACCTCATTTTAAGGTATAAACATTTTCAGTTCCATTAATTTATTTTTTATGACTGAACAAAATTCCATTGTGCATGTGTATCGTATTATTCATTCATCAGTTGATGGACAACTAAGCTCATTTCATTTCCTAACTATTGTGAACAGACCAGTAAAGAACATAAACGTGAGAGTCTTTGTCATAAGGCATACAGGTTTTTAGATATATGTGTGGGAGTGATCTAGCTGAGTCACATAAAAATTCTAATTTTAGCTTTTTTTAAAGGAACCTCCACAATATTGATTTCCATGGTTTCTGCACCAATTTGTATTCCCACCAGTAGTGAACAAGGGTTCCCTTTTCTCATATCCTCACCAACATTTGTTGTCATCTGACTTTGTTCTAATAGCCATTCTGCTGCAGGGAGATGGAATCTCAAAGTTGTTTTAGTTTGAATTTTTCTATGGCTAATGATTGTTTAACCCTTCTTAAGGTGATTATTAGACATTTGAACTTCCTTTTTTGAGAACTCTCTGTTCAATTCCATAGCCCATTTTCTTATCATGTTGTTTTCTTGATTTTCAAAACTTTCTTGTATATTCTATATATTAATCTTTTGTATTAATATTAGTATACTCTTTTGTATTAAAATTAATCATATATATATATGTATATATATATATAACTGGAAAATATTTTTCCATTCTGTAGGCTGCTTCTTCATTTTATTGATTCAGTTTTAATTAATGCATTAACTTATTTTTGTTTTATGAATGGGATCTTTCTATTTAATTCAGGTTTACCTCAGGTTTACAGTGATTTCTCTGTCTCAGCCTCCAAGGTGCTGGGATCAGAGAAATGTGCCATCACACATATTTGTATCCCATAATGTGTTAAGGAGTTAAGGATGTTATACCACAAATCCATAAATAAATTTCACAGAGACAATCCTGGCTTTACAGATTCTCCATCAAATCAGTCCTTCCAGTGTGTGAATGGGAAGCACATCCCTCAGGAGAGAGTCTGCAATGGAGTTAATGAATGTGGAGATCAAAGTGATGAGCTGTGTTGCAAAGGTAGGGATGAATCCGCCTTTCAAATCCCCGTATTCATTATTCCTACTAAAACTGTCAAAACAGCTTCAATGATAAATATAAGATCTCATTTCATATGCATGCATGCATGTGGTGTGTGTGTGTGTGTGTGTGTGTGTGTGTGTGTGTGTGTGTGTGTATACATGCATGTTTGCACACACAAGTGTGTGTGTGCTGGGGATTGAACCCAGGGCCTTTCACGTGCTAGGCATGCTACCACTGAGCTCCTGACTCAGTCCCTACATCTCTCAATGGAAAATAGTGGAAATAACTTCTGTGTGTTTTTACACAGCTTGCCAAGGTAACGCTTTCCTTTGTAAGTCGGGTGTTTGCATCCCAAAGGAATATAAGTGCAATGGTGAGGTGGACTGCATTACAGGAGACGATGAGAGTGGCTGCAAAGGTAATCCAAAAACTCTGTAGCACTTTATTCCATTATTGAACCCTCAAGTATGAAACTTCTCTCGAGGTAAATCACAGCCTTAAGTGGCCATTATCAGTAAGAATATCAGTAGGACTGTAGCTGAGACATTTGAATAACAGTGTTCTGACCCTCTCTTTCTACCTACTTGTTATTGAAGCACTGTTCATTACAAATGATCATATGTAAAAAAAGATACACTATTAGCATGAGTCCCTGGGAACCGTCTTCCAACCGTGACAGCTACTGCTATTTGCTAGCCATGCTCATTCTGTCTGCATTGCAAAGCTCCACCACAGTCATTCTTACAAATGATCATATGTAAAAAAAGATACACTATTAGCATGAGTCCCTGGAAACCGTCTTCCAACTGTGACAGCTACTGCTATTTGCTAGCCATGCTCATTCTGTCTGCACTGCAAAGCTCCACCACAGTCATTCACCTATAGATTTAGCAGACTTCAAACTATTGTCTACATCCATTGTTTCAGCAAGAAGCTATGAAATGTTTGTTTCTAATTGTATCATTATTTCTGTATTTATAGACTGAAATGAGTCAGTTGTTTTAAGTGCCTGGTCCTGAACTGTATACCAGGGTCACAACAGGCATGTAAAACAACAAATACTCACTTAGGAAAGAATGAATGCAATACTGTTATTTTTCCTTTAAAACTCATAGACCAGTATAAAAGTCAGTATGTGTGGAACAGAACAGGTACATGATAACTACTTTTTAATCATTTGGAGTTGTCCAGAGCACTGACCCATTGAGACTTGGTGGATAGCAAGAAAGTATTACACACTATTATATATTTCTACTATGAGTTATATGCTATGGAAACGAAACAGTGAAAGAAAGTTTACTCCTAGATAATTTCAGTCAATAAATACAGAAATAATGATACAATTAGAAACATATGTGAATGGATTGACATAATGTTTGGACAGTATTTGATGTTCCAGTATTAGACTTACTGAACTTCTAATTTTCTGTTAATATCAGTGTGACAGTTTTATTGTCAACATGATACGGTCTAGAATCACCTGGGAAAAGAATCTCAATGAGGAATTGTCTAGATGGGGGTGGTGTGGACATGTCTGTGTGGGGCTATCTTGATCACAGTGAAAGGAGAAAACCTGCCCACTGTAGGTGGCAGCATTCCTTAGGCAGACAGTTCTGAACTGTGTAAGAGGGGACAGAGAAAGCTGAGTACAGGCAAGCATACACTGGTTCCTCTCCGTTCCTGATTATAGAACTGATATGGACAGTTCCTTCCCTGCTATGATGGACTGTAACCTGCACTTGTGAACTAAAATAAACCCTTTCAGCTCCAACCTGCTTGTCAGGGAAATCATGGCAGCAACCTGGATGTGTATGTGTATGTGTATGTGTATGTGTATGTGTATGTGAGTTTATTCTGGTTTGTGTGCTTTCCTGCTTTTTTCTAAGGAAAAGAGAGAGAAAATGGCATGGAGGAGTTAGGTGGGTGAGAAGGATCTTGGAAAGTTTGGGGAGGGGAACCATGTTCAGAATATGGCAAATGAAAAACATGGATTTTTTTGAGACAGAGTTTCTCTGTGTAGTCCTGGCTGTCCCAGAACTTACTCTGTAGACCAGGCTGGACCTCTCCTCCCCTATTTAAAACAATAAGGATTAAGGTCAAGGCATACATACAATTTGTTAGTTTTCATGGAAAAAAATCTTCAATAGAATAACTACATAAAACACAAAGCTTATTTTCCTCCAAAAATTTAAATATATACATCATATACTTAGTAAAATATCATTGTTAGTTCAATTTCCCAACTCTGGGATGAGTACCACCTTTAGCTTCCAGAAATGGTTCTGTTTTCCTTTAAAAGAAAGTGAAAGTGAGAGCAGAGACACATAATTAATTTGCTCACTGACTATTAAGTGGCCAGATCAAAATCACTAAATCAAAGCAAGTTTGTATCATCTCTGGATTGCCTTTACCTCTTGGAAGTTCCCTGTCATAGTTGGGGTTTCCATTGCTTTAATAAAGCACCATGACTAAAAACAATGTGGGAAAGAAAAGGTTATTCCCCCACCCTATAAATGCTCACACTGAGGAAAGTCAAGGCAGAGACCCAAAGGCAGGAACTGAAGAATCCCTGGAAGAATGCTGCTCCATGGCTTGCTTCATGGACTTCTCTTTCTCAGCCTGTTTTCTTAGAGCCCAGGACCTGCCCAGGGTGGCACTGCTTCCAGTGGACTGGTCTTCCCATATCAACTGTTAATCAAGAAAAAAACCCACAGACATGTCTACAGGTCAATCTCCCAGAGGCATTTTCTCTATTAGGATTCCCTCCTCCCAGATAATCTTGGTTTGGGTCAAGTTGACAAAAACCAAGCAGGATACCTCCTCTTTGTTAGTGCAAGTTAAAAAATATAACTTCATAGAATTGTATACTGTTTCCTTTTGAGTATGTGTGCAGATGTATCTAAAATACTATTCTCTTTTTAAACTTAAAATAATTCTCTTGCTGGAGTGAACTTGTTATGTTTAAATGCAAAATAAAAATCTTATTAGAGTTAGCATTAAGATAAAATGGCATGCTATTTGGCTTCATTTTTTCAATCTTTTTTTTAAGTTGTTACATTGTTTTTGAAATATTAATGATTTGCATGTTTTTTCCTTAAATAATCTCTTTATACTAATGCTTTGTTTTTAGAAACCAGACATCCTCAAATTCATGACAGTAAGTCCACTTTTTAATAGAAAATTTATAACTCTAGTTTGCGACATGGTGTGGGTTTATTTTTCCCCCAGTTAAAAGTTATTCTTCACTGTGGTAAAACTCTGCCTTTGTGTTTTGTCTTTTTTCAGACCTTGCACGGTCCGATCAAGATCAAGGTAAGCATTTATTAAAGTCTTGGGATATTGCAAAAATAGATATTTGTCTTTCTGTATTTTATAGGAGCAGAGTATGATATGAGCGTGTACAAGCAAGACCCCAGTTTTCCCATTAGTTTAGCTAGCAGAGGCCTTTGTTCACTGTGCCCAGCTTTCAGACATGCCAATGGCAAACACCACACACTGTGGGGGCTTCCCCGCACATGCCACCTTTGATCAATACCTTTCTTGTCTCCTTTCCCCTCAAAACCAAGCTTTTAAAGAAAGTGCCACCAGAAGAAAAATAAAGCATTTCATATTTTGATACTTATTTTATAAGCCAGGTATCCCCAAATCCTTGAGCTCTTTGGATCCACGTTTTTAAAAAGCATGCAAAGTATTAGCTATCATTATGACATTTTCAAACACAGTGTGATTTAATAGATTCTCCAGCCTATTCTTCCACCAGCTACTCTTTGCTTAGTTATTCGTATCAAATGACTCAAGTCCCCAACCACATAATGCCAAAAGTTGATGGTTTTCCTTAGAATTTCTTAGGATTCCTGGGGATGAGCCATCTCAGACTTGACCCTTGTCCCAAATGTCAATTCTCAATTAATGCCTTGTGCTCCATCTCATTTGTCATTCCCCCTCCCCTCTGGAGCTGCTGTTTGCCCATCACTTATTCCTCTTCTCCTTTTTTTCCTTCTTCCATCTCTATCTTCAGACACCAGTAACATGGGTGGGGGTGAATTAATGATACTTCTCAGGTCTTTTTATGTGATCATGACTAGTTCTTTCTAGGCCCGTCTTGCTTATCTCTAACCCCTTCTTCCCATTTTCTTGCCAACCATTCTAGTGCGGCTGAATGTACATGTCATTTTGCTTGTGTGATTTCTTCTCTGGTGCACACTGCAATCTGGTGATCACACATCTTTCATTGGGTTGTAGATATTATGTTCCTTACCTTTCTTTTTCAAAGCACTGCATTTGACGTCTGTCTATGTTGCCCTGTGCTTATCTACTCTGCTGCTTCTAGCTGTTACAGAAAATGCATGCTCACTTTCCAATTTACTCAATATTTTGAGCAAGGGACTATCAGCCCATCACTGCACTGTGATAAACATCTTCTTCAGAATGTATGGATTCCTTTGAAACATCTACCTAGCAAGGGCTTAAGTCTTGTGGTAAGCAACTCCTTAATTGACAAGTAGCACATGAATGTTCTTTGCCAGCGCCACTAAGTACCAGTTCTCACATCCAGCTATACTGTCTGAACTTTCTCTTCACCCACCAACATATAACACTCTCCATCTTCACATTGAGCTAGTTATCAAATGCCAAGTGATGGCATTGTTAATTATTACCCTGGGCTCTGGCAATAGCCAATAGCTCAGGTCAAATTCACACAGGTCTAGTGGTTTTCTGAGAGCTTTTCCTCCTACCTTTTCTTTTCTTTCTCAAATTCACATCTCACCAGCTCATATTCTTTTCTTCATTTTAGGTTTCTTTCACTGCAATCTTCTCTCGTACTGATTTGAAGGAATCCCCTTTACAGTCTGGATATTAACCCTTTGCCAGCTTTAAACACCTCAAATATCATCTTCATTCTGCCATCCATCTGTTTATTAGCTCCATCCAGGATGACACCTGTTGAAAAGAAATTCTTAGTTTTGGGTCAGAAAGATGGATTCTCAGATAAAAAGCAGTTGCCATCACACCTGACTACTTGAGTACAACCCCCAGGAACTTAGTGGAAGAAGTGACTCTTTTAAATTGTCCTGACTTCGCGCCCCACACACACACACACACACACACACACACACACACACACACACACACACAAATGTAAAAAATGAAATCCTTAGCACACACACACACACACACACACACACACACACACACACACGTAAAAAATGAAATCCTTAGTTTTTTTTATATCACCAAAGGCATCAATCATTTTCCCCATGGCTTGTGCTTTTGCAGCTTCATGCTATTCTAATGCCCAGAACTCTTCAGCTGCACTGGACTTTCCCTACTTACCTTTGCTGAACACTTAATGCTAATATTTGGGTCTTCTCTGATTCATACATGCACTCATGTGAATATCTCTGAGAAGAACCCTTCATGCCCTGGGACACAGCCCCTCTATGTCTGTTCTAAAGAGAACTTGGGAAATCCAGGAACAAAATCCAAGACCACAGTGTCAAAGCAAAGTTCCTTTAGTGCACTGTTCTGTCCCCAGCTTTATCCTCATCCCAACAGAGCAACATGTGGGTAGAAATTTGTCTCAGGATCTCCAGGCCATAGGGATTATGGGCTGGTCCACCGAGTTGTCCTGGGATGGCAGGGTGGAAAGATCCATATAAAAGCCTAAGGAAGCAGGGCACCCTTTTCTTTGATTTTTTGCGCCCCAGATCATAATGCTAGCTAGCCATTCCTACAAGAAAGTCATTAAGATATCTCTAGGTGCATGGCGCCTGAGGGAGGCACCTAGTGATATGCAATGTTGGGCAGCCCTTTTAATGCCCATGTGGACTCCCTGGTCAGGACAATGGCTGTTCTCTTCCTCAAGTAAAGAGCTGGAATGAGAGAGAAGAAGGGAAGTTCTCTTTCCTGATTCGAGTATTTTGTCTTGCCACTCAGTTGCAGCAACAAACACTCCATCAGCATCAAGGACGTCTATAGGGTTCACCTGCATCTTTCCAGATGACATGCTTGGGGAGTCTGTCTATAAAAAGAAGAGAGCAGTATTTAAATTCATTGGAGTTAAGTCACTTTAAGAATTGAATTTTCTCTAAAGACATAACATTAACTACTTGGATTTTCTCTTGCTTTATCACAGAAGGAGAAACTGAAGAAACAGAAATTTTGACTGCTGATATGGACATAGGTGAATTAACTTTTTTTGATGGTTTCAGCTAGCACTTTAGTACCAAGTATGTATATATCATGTGTACAATATACCAACATACTATGTAATATGTATTCATGTATTAAATGTACAATGAATTCAAGCAAAAATTAACTTTGTTATAGTTTAAGAGAAAAAATGTAACTTTCTACTTCCCCATTGCTGTTAAGAAAAGCAGACTCATGTTATTCTTGACAATTGCTCTTAAAGCCAGGTTAGTTCACATGACCTACGTCAAATACTACAGTGAAGAGCTTTGTTAGTTTAGTTTTTTCAAAATTAACTTGATTTCAAGCATGACATACAATCCATCTTCTGAAATGGAAGATAAGGGAAGACTGAAGACATTAGAAGACTGAACCTGTCCTTTCCCCATGTTATAAATCATGGTGACAGGAAGCCTCTGACACCCTGTACCAAGAGCCAAACTGAGTTAGACAGAAGTTCGTGAGATGGCAGTGGTTTATTCAAGTCAGCAAGACTGACTTTCCATCTTGACTCCATTGTTTTTAATAACTATTTAATTTTATCACCTTTTTCCACCTTAGATTATCTACCAATTGGTTTGGAGAGATTTTAAAATGAAATTCATGTGATATTAACATCTACTTTCCAGGGTCTCAAATTAGTAAACAATTTTCTAAATAAACCAAGTACAGTATATCTGCAACTTAGAGATGCCACGTAAGAGAGATTTCACACACACACACACACACACCTTTGTCTACTGAAGACATCTGTTTTCAGATTCCATCTATCCTGCTTTCACAGGCTGTAGTGAGTAAGAGTCTAAACAAAACCTTCAGATCATCACACTCTTCCCTCAACCCAGTTGGTAGGATAGGTGAGAGCTTTTACCAAAGTAAATCTTTCCATATTCATTCTCAACTTCTCTTCCTTGGGACCCTACCTCCTGTTGATATGCCCCAAATAATTACCATTAATATGGAGTATCCTTTCTCATTTGAAGAAATGAATTTCTTAACCTTTCCTGGCATGGCAAATACAAGAAGGAACAAAGAAGACATCTTTACACTTCCATTTTCTTCCTTTCTTGTGCTTTCTCTTGAAACTTCATGCTTTGAGCCTTGCTCTCCATGATTTGTTTCTTGGTGACAAATACATCACACACACGCTCACCTGGGAGGGAAGCAAATGTAAGATGAGGCCTGCTGACCCAATCACCCAAGGTTCCTGGCATATGGCTCCCTGGATTAATATACTGTGATAAATTATTAATTATACTAATAATGAGACAAAATATATATGGGCTGTTCATATGGGCCCATACACAAAGTACTTGCTATCATAATGCTAGCATTAATATTACTGAAAAGAGATTTTCTTTCGGAAAGTGAAAATCACAACAGTGAAAGATACATTGCTCTATATCATAAACTCATTCTGATGAGTTCAAAGTGTGACACACACCCCACCGTGAGTTCTCATTGTAGTAATTCCTGGGCATGTGACATCTCTCATCCATCAGAGGTTGGTACACGTTTATCCTCTCAACCAGCTTTCCATCCCAAGTCCACTTTTAGAAAGAACTTCAGAGAACCAAGTCAACTTTAATGTTGAGCCAGAATTTCCCAATAAGGTAAACAGTACCATCTATTCATGAGTAGGAGGGCTTGAATTCAGATCCCAGCACCCGTGTATAAGGCCTGGTAGTGGGGCATGTCTGTAATGGTAAGGGAGAGGGGCAGATCACCAGAGCTCACTGGCCAGCCTGCCCAGCCAATGAGTGAATTCCAGGTTTGTCGAGAGACTGTCTCAGACAATGAGGTAGAAAGTGACTGAGGAAGGCATCTGATGGTTGACCTCTGGTCTCAAGTAGACATGTGTGTATGCACCTGTATAAACAACACACACACACACACACACACACACACACACACACTGAGAGAAAGAGATAGATAGAGATAGATAGACAGACAGACAGTAGATGGATAGAACTAAGAAGTGCCTATCCACAAGATAATGGTTTCCAGAAAATAACGATACAATCTCTTCCTTCTTGAAGAAAGACAACGGATAAAGTCCTTGTTACCTAAACTATCCTGTGGAGTCAAAAGAAACACACACATTCGAAGGAAAAGAGTGATTGGGGGGAAGCCAGCAGAGGTGGTAAGTCTGCATGAAAATCACAAATCCCTCCATGGATCAGCCTGAGTAAGACAAAAGGGAGGGGATGGTGTGCTCACAGGAGACTGAGACCATATGTTGACAAGTCCTAGCATTGTCTGTTTGTGACACTATCCAGTAGAAGGGCAGTAACCACAAAATGTCTCTTTCACAGGGAGACTACCCATGGCAGGTGGCAATTAAGGATGGCGAAAGAATCACCTGTGGGGGAATTTATATTGGTGGCTGTTGGGTTCTGACTGCTGCACATTGTGTCAGGTAAAAATGTCTTCAGTATGTTTTAGATTTCTTGAAACATGAGAAATAAATAATAGAGATGGTTATAAGTAATAGATACAAGCTTATATAAGAAAATGAGTTCTACTCTGTTATCAGAGGTTATTTTTCTGGTATTCATGACCTGCACTGTAAGGACCAGTCCCTCAGAATCTCTACTGTGTTCTGGTGAGGGTGGAGCTTAGATACTGTATGACCTTGTTTGTCTCATTGTACTAGGCCAAAACTGTCCGGAAGAGTTTATGACTGAGCATTTATGAAGCAGTGATACTAACCTGTCATCCCCTCTGGTCTTTCCATAACAAGGACATTAAAGAACTAGTTTTCCTCCACAAACACAGATGACTTTTTCAAATTCACATACCCTGAAATGAATTTAATATCTTCTAGGTAATCAAGGACATGTCCAAAGCTCAATGCTATTTATCTGATATAATGACCCATCATTGGCTGGCTCACTCTTTGAGTCTGGCTAAATTATTTGCACATGTCCATAACTTGAAGCTGCTTTGAAGGCAAGGCATTGTACCAGGTAGGGGTAGCACCTGTATTGCTAGTGGGAAGATTCCCGAAGTGCAGCAGGTTATTTCTGACAGACTTGCAATCATTAAGAGCAGCTGACAGGGAGTCAGAGGAAACCCACCTACTAAAGACCAGTCACACCTGGACCCCTTTGACAGATTTCCCAGCTCAGAGAAACAGGGGAAGCATAATGTGGACTCAGCTTTGGCAGCTGATAAGTGAGAAATACAAGGCTGGCACAGGTCCTACAAGGAGCATTGTAAGTGGCTGATTAGTTTGCTGACAAACACCACATGGCAGTTGGCTTTAAAAGGACAGACCTAATTTCTCACCATTCTGGAGGCTGGAAGGCCAAGACCAATGTGCATCACTGGCTGTGCCTGGGTCTCTCTTGGCTGGCATGTGCCCCCTTCTCACTGTGCCCTCAGTGCTCTTTACACTATGTACATGGAGCTCTGAGACTTCTCTTTTCTCCCATGAAGAACCCCGTCTTACTGGGTTAAAACCCAACCCTTACAGCCTCATTAAACCTTAATTACCTGATTAAAAACACCTTGTCCAAATACAGTCTCACTGGGGCTCAAAACATCCACGATGCATCAGATAAAACTCAGCCCATAGTAGTGACGGGATTGCAATCCTCAGAAGGAACTGACTGGTTGAACTCATGATTCCTGCCTCAGTCTGGACTTTAGAGTGAATGCAGAGGCGTTTGGTGAACGCTGCTTACAGACCCGGTCCTAGGTCAGGCACGTTTTACAGGTTACCCCTTAGTTCTCCCAGCAGTCAAGAGTGACGAGGATTCCTCCCTTTCTGTAGATAAGCTTCCTAAAAGAGAAGCTAAGCAATGCCTTAGCTGACACCATATAAGCAGTCAGTCAGTAGAGCCAGGACATCATCCAACATTTGATTGCTATCAAGATGACTTCCTCCTTAGCGAATTCTCGGGTGGCCTAACTTTCTGAGAAATGGCATTTACACTGAGTGATGAAGTGTTGAATGATACCTGGGAAAATCCTCACGGATTGGAACAGCAGGCACCCTCGTTTGTTTTTCTCCACAGAGAAGCTTCTCTCTTCGTTTCTGTGGCACAGCGCTCCCCTGCTCTCTTCCTGCCCCTCCTGCTGTGCCTCCTCAGTTGCCCTACCAGGTTTCTTCTGTGCTTGCATCACAGCACCACCGAACAGCTGGAGTCCAATGGTCAGCCTGGCTTCCTCTTTCTTCCTAGTTAGCTGTGGTTCAAAATCCCACTCTAAGTTGAATAAATGGTAGCCACAGTATAGCCTTTCCTCCAACCACTGGCATACAGTCAGCATTACATTGAGAGCTGGAGAGAGGGTGCAGTCGGTTGATTAATGGCTATAAAGCATGGAGTCCTCAGTATGAGGTGCAGAACCCATGTTACAGACTTTTTAAGCTGGTGTAGTGGCATGCAGTGTTTGTAATACCAGCACTGGGGAGGGAGCTCTTTGGGGGCTTGCTAGCCAGCCTTGCCTACTTGGTGAGTTCCAGACCAATGAGAAATCTCACCACAAAAACAAGGTGGCAGTGCCTGAAGAACAATACCCAAGATTGACCTGTTCTGCACATGCATACACACACGAGCACCTGCAAACACACTTGCCTCCTCCACACGTGAACATGAGCACGTGAGCAAACACACACACACACACACACACACACACACAGAGAGAGAGAGAGAGAGAGAGAGAGAGAGAGAGAGAGAG